TTTTTTAAACCTTTTATCCAGTATTTTCATAGATCTGCTCCTATCACAATTTTTCTTCTCTTAGAGAAAACCAGCAAAAGGTGAGTGGCTGTTCTTTCAAAGAGTTTTAATAGTTGATGGGGATATGTATCGTTTCCCATGAATCATAAGCCATCTGTGGAACAAGCTTCCTGTTTTTCTCTGCTTCCAACTCAACTTATATTCCAAATTTCATATGAAAACATGTCTTACCTATCTTATGTATACCGAAATTCACACAATTGAATTTATTCCATTTCAGTGATGAACCCCCACCTAGTTAGATGCTTGACCAATCAGATAAATATTGTGCAATTTCCTGATGCTCACCAATTTAAATAAGTAATTTACATACATAAATATTTTTTTCTGAAGTGCACACATTGTGAGTTACAGGAATCTCACTTTGCCACTGAGATGGAAAAGATTACTGTAAGTACATTGGATTTATTGGAAACAGAATCTAAATTCTGACTCTTCAGAAGCTGTAAATATGACTTAGAAGAAGGAATATTTGAAATGCAGTTTTGAGCATTTCAGTTAAATTTTTCCACATAGTTGTATCCTCAGCTAATTTTTTGGCTCAACATCTAAGTGCTTTTTTGAATAACCCTGAACACTGGGAAAGGATTTCTGGATTATATTAGCAAGGGCTCAGTACTGTGTGAACCCATCTGTGTGGCGTCTGCTCTGGAGCTTGTCAGTGTATGGATGTTTAGAAGCACAGAGAGATCAGATGTGCAGTTTTCTACAACCTACGTATCTTAAAGGAATCCTTTACTGATCATCTGAAAATGTTTACTGAAATCTTTACTGATGCAAGTTAAATAAGAAACAGTAGTACAATTACATAAATTTCAATGAATGTCTGGCCTTATTGTTCACTGAAAACATAAAGACAGAAAGTATTCCTGGAAGTGTTTGTATTATATGTGTGCAGTGCAGTAAAAGCATTTGTTCCTTCAGAGAATCTGTTTTCCAAGTTTTTACTGTCAGTTCATTTTTATCATGCTTCTCCAGTTCATAGATCTTTTTTAGAGAATTTTCTTAGAATTTGCTTTTAGAAAAATACTAAAGTTTGCGTGCATTAAGGATTTTAGAGCATTTATGTACCAGAATTCCACCTGCATAAATACATACATGTACACTGCAGCCAAATTTCTCTTACAAAATTGGTATCATCTTGTAGAGAAGAAGAAACCACTGCACAGCGAGGTGCGGATACTAAGTTCACATTTTTAGTTAGTTAAAAAAAGTCTGAAGGTAAAGCTAAAACCTGACTATGAGAATGCTTATCATATTATGTCATTTTTGTGGTGAATACTTTGCAAGTCTTAGGGACGATACTCTGAAATTTTTAAAAGTACTTTTAAGAATAATTTGTGAGGTTGATAACCCTTATAAATACTTCTTTGTCTTGCCTTTATTTCCTGTCAGAGTTCCAACCTGCATTCCAGTTTCTTTTGTATTCTGTTATGTGGTCTTTGTATTTTCCTTGTAGAAACTATTGTGTCTTCCTTCACTTAAATTTTACAGAGTAGGCTTTGAAATGACCAAAAATGTTTAGCACTTTTCCTAAACTTCTCTGAGAGAAAAATAGAGGCAGTAAACACAGGAGGAAAAACGCTTAAGAAGGTCTTAGAAAGCTATCATCAGAATAGGAAGCTCAGTTGTTTAGTGAAGAACCCAACTGAAAGGTGATTAACTGGTACCCTGTCTTGCCCTGGGCCTCAAATGATCATTTGTAGACTATACAGTGTGTAATCCAAAATTGTATCCAAAATAGCTGTTAGCTCTAAAGTATGCATACTGGAATAATTTGGCATGAAAGCTCTTTGGTGTATTTTTAATGAAATATAATTATTTTGTAAACTAGAACTTGGATTCTTAATGAATTGAAATGGCCACAGAAATAAGTTCAAGTGTTTGTATAATTGTTAAGTGAGTTTATTTCTGAAACAGCTTGCAAATGGGAGGTAATTTAGAAATGCAAATTTAAAACCAACTGAATAATCGCTATATGGGACTTGTTCCCATTCTTTCAAAGGAATTTTTTGTAAATTGTGGTGAGTATGTTTGAGGCTTTTTTGCTCAAAGTAAAAGCAAAAAAGGTAGCATCTACAAACTTTCTTCTGCTTCTAGTTTTGTCCCCTCCTCATCCCCCAGGTCGTGAGAGACATGGGAAGGGCCACCAAGGTCATTAGAGGGTTGGGCAACTTGACCTATGTAGAAGTGTTGATGGAGCTGGGTTTGTTGAGCCTGAAGAGGGGATCTGAGGAGGGGAATCTAATTACAGTCTATCTGAAAGGTAGCCATAGAGAAGATGTAGGCAGCTGTCTTCATGAGGGTGCATGGGGACAGGGCAAAAGGCAACAGGCCCAGGTTGCTTCAGGGGAAATTTTGTCTGGATAAAAGAAAACAATTATTTACTGTGAGAACAGTAAAAGACTGGAATAAATTGCCCAGAGAAGGGGGTAAGACTCTTCTTGACAGGGCCTTGAATAACCTAATATAAGGCTCTGTTTTCAACAGAAGATTGGACCAGATGGTCTCCAGAGGTCCTTTCCAGCCTAAATTTTTCCATGATTCTGTGAATCTGTCTTTCTCTGATATTCAAGAAAATACAAAGAAATGGACTAGGCAGGCTGTGGTACTGCTAGGAATACATGGAGAATAATAGTCCTGGCTCCTCTAATCTGATCCATTCCTCAGAGCAAAGCAACTGCTCTGTATTAAGAAGGAAACAGGAGGGAAGGGCAGTTCAGGAGAAGGCTCCTCAGAGGAGGAGCTTGATGGACAGCTGGAATGGAGGGGAAAGTACTGTGTAAATTTGAACATAAGCATCAAGAAGGGTAGCTGAACAGCTGAAGAAATCTAGGAAAAAAGGGGTAAGTAAGGAGTGAAAAGGTGGTAGCGTATGGGTTTGATAAGTGTATTCACCATGCATGGTAAGGTTTGAATGGCAGAAGGACTGACGATGCAGGAGGCATTACACACCTCTGGGTGCTAAAGGTAGTGTAGTGTGGATAGTCTTGGAGAGTCTTCTCTGGTAGTGTGAATAGCCCTGGCTCATTGAAAGCAAGAGAACACTCTGAAAGTAATGGTGGAGGAAGGGTACACCAGGACATTCTTGAATATTTTGTAATTTGAATCACCTGCAGAGGCTGGTGCCTCACCACTGTTGTCTGATATTTGAGAGAAGAGAAAGAAAAATAAGTAGATTGTTTGGAGCAGGTGTTAACACAGTTATTTGATCATAAAATGGGCCATATAAACTCGGAGGGATGAAAGACAGCAACCTTTCTCCAAGTTGAACAAATTTCTTTGTTATTTTTCATTGTTTCAGGGCAGTTGGATTGTCTAAGTAGATGGATATTTAATTTGCCGTGGTAATCCATTAAAACATACTTGACGTTGTGTTTTTTCAGTATCATCATTTTCTCCAGAGAGGAAAGTTAGTTCTGTCCTTAGATTGTTCTGGATTGTTCCATTAGCGGACTACTGCAACTGCCAACAAAATTTCTGTCTTAAGATGTTTTCTTCACTTCAGTCTATAAATGAAATTGAGGGCATCTCTGAAATGTCACTGCCATGTCTTGCGTGATGTGTGCAGTATGTCAGATTACACTTTGCAATATGATCTGGAAATTGTCAGACAACCTGAATGTGTGCTTTAGTGTGACGTTAGTTCGTTCAGATCAATTACTACTGTTGCCGATACCTGTTTTTATATAGTGCTTAGATATCTGTAGGAGACAACCACTTTACAGAGAAGGCTTTATACCCTTGTCCCTTGTTTAAGGTGGGGAACACTAGTGCAGAGAAGTTCCTTGCCCATAGGCACTCACAGAATCAGTGGCAGAGCTAGGGTTAGAATCTGCATCTTTGTTAAGCAATTATTTAGTGATGGGTTCTTAAAAGTAGCATGGTATTGGGAGGAGAGGCTATGTTTTGGATTAAATATGACTAATATTTTTTTTAACACAAACATTGCATAACCTATGAAAAAATTTTGTCTCAATGTGTGGAATTGTCTCTATCCAGATTTTTATTATCCCTACTAAAGAAAATAGATTGCTTTCTGCCATTGTCTGTTTAACCAGCTGTAAGCCCTATTGGACAGATTGCATGGTATGCTGATTAATGATATGGGCCATGGGTGATTAGCCAAGCGTGTAATGAGGTCCATAGCTTCCAGTGTATTACAGAAATGCCATTGATCAATATAACCACACAGTCTGTAGTGTCTTCTACAAAGTAAATTCAGACTAGTGGAGAAAAGTGGTGTAGTCCCTGAAGAGCTGCTGCAGCGCTACACAGCTGTGCTTATTTTTAGAGGAGGCTTAAATTTAATCTGAGGATTTGAAGGTTCGGTGGTTTTTTTTTTTTCCTTGATATCTTTCTTACTGTGATTATGGGCATCTCCCTACCCCCATTTTTCTTGCAGAATAAATCCAAAAGTCTTAATATGCATGTGGTAAATTTGGGAGATTATATTTCTACATGTGCTTAAAAAAAGTGTTTCTTTTGTATCCCAGCATCCAAGGGCAGGAGGCAGAAGAGCTTGGTGAATTCTAACAAACAGCATGCTGTTTTATAAAACGTTACTAGATCAAGCTGTCAAATGTCAAAGACTCTATATGCTACTTTTGTAGCTGAATCTAAATTTTTTTAATATAAAATCAGCACTGGTTAAATACTTTCCTTTTTAGAGAATGCTGAAAATACGCAATATGTTTATGACTTCCATTTCATATTTTTAATGCAGTAATTCTGCTATAGGAATGGGATTTTTTCATACTGTGTCCTGAACTGTCATCAGCATCACTGCTTCGAGGCTATATAGATTCAGATTGTAGAGCAGAGTTGGCTCATAATTTTTTTCTTATGAGTGAGTTTTTTCTAGAGCAATAACATGAGGTAATTTGCTTATTATTACTACCCTATTAAAATTTCTGTAAATATCTCTTTCTAATTTATAGGTAGTAGCTCAATTCCAAATTTCTTTCGCATCATGAAGCGACAGTTTACTGAAACAGAGTGGGGTGTAATCAAGTCTATGAGTAATGAATGGTTGCAACTCGATATGTTTCATCGGCACTGGGTAATACTTTTTTTTTATTTAAAGACTGCAATGCTATAACCTGCACATTCTCGTTTGATATATTTTGTTATTATTTTCATTATGGTAAAATTGTATACTCTTCATAGTTACATGTTCATGTGGAGATAATATTTTAATGGGGTTTATATTTTAGTGATTTTTTTAATGTCGGAATAACTTTGAGAGCCATAGTACAGCTGACATTTCTAGAAGGATTGATGACTAGTTTTAAACACGTACCCAGAACAAAGTAAAGGGTTCATATCTGTATGTGCCACTTGCTAATTCCAATTGCATGTTCATTATAATGCAGCAAGTTAGGCTAGGTATTAACAACACTGATAACTTTTTCTCTTGATAATTGCATCAGTCTACCCTCACATTTACAGTAGTACAAGTCTTAAATTTATTTCATCTACAGGGTCTGCCCAGAAGTAGTGTTTATAGAGCAGCTTGAAAACAGCCAGTATGAATAAAATACATTTATTCTGTTTTTTAGGCCTTAAAGGAAAGCTTCTTAAAGGCTGTTGGAGTCGGAATTGGCTTTAACTTGCAAAGAATTGAATTTAATGTGTCCCCATTGCAACTGGAAATAGGGAAGGTGTATAAGGAGACAAAAATGCTTCTGGATGGAGATAAAGAAGAAGAGTGGATGTTTGAGGTAAGAAATACTCAACTTTATTTTTTCAGTAGCGATAAACAGTCTCAACACCCTATGGTTGCATTGCACATTTGATTTTTTTTTTTTTTTTAATTGCTGCTTCACACCTTTATTCTGTATAACCGCATTGAACATATACCAATCAAAACTTAGGATATAAATCCACAGCGTTTTAAAGTATTTTTGATGATCGCAAAACCAGCCCAGAGATATGTTCATTATAATGGCTTTTTATTTTTTCTGTTCCTGGTGTATACTTCTTGCACTCTATGAAATTCAGCCTAGGGGCATGCAGGAGGTTCACTGAGGCATATTCAGACCTGACTTCTGAACAGTGTCTTAAGATTTTAAAGTTCTTCATCAGTTGGTCTAGAATGGGACTAGTGATTAACTAACCCTATTAGTTAGTGTTTATGTTAAATGCTTGGAATGGAGGAGGTGTCTTCAGCTCCTTTGGGTTTCTTACTTCTTGTCCATACAAGCTGGTAGAAACGTGCTTTTGTGGTTTTGGAGTTACAGTGTGCTGATTGGCTGCTGTCTGTGGGAATGGAGAGATGAAAAAAACTTGCTTTTGCTTAATTGGAACATTAGTTTGGGCTCAGTCTTTTATCTGGGTGTTGGGGCTTGGGATTTTGGGTTTTTTTACTTCTTGAAAGTTATTGAGACTTATCACTAAAACATCTATCCTGCTAGATTTGGTAGAAAACGATCAATAGCGTCAATAGTTTAAAGGGTGTGGAGAGAAAGAACAGATAGGGACATGGTTTAGTGGTCGACTTGGTAGTGTTAGGTTAACAGTTGGACTTGATGATCTTAAGGGTCTTTTCCAACCTAAATGATTCTGTGAGTCTATACAATTATCTCAAATTATTTAATTACCCTAAGAAACCAAGCTTTAAAAGAAGTTAAACAAATCAGAACACCATTTCTCTACACACTAGAGGCACTTTCATTCAACCACTTAAAACAAAGGAAGAAATGCAAAAGACATTGTGACTTTAAAATTGTCTGTAAAGGGCACCTTGTTGCAGTCTGCCATAAGTTTGTGCAGCTGGTACATAGCTGACTAGCAATTCAAAGAATACATACTTTGCAATTTCACAAAATAGTCAAGCGCCGTTCTCAGTAAGAGTACTCAGTTACCAATATGCATTTACATTTTGAAAGTATCTATGTTGTTGGAGACAACTATTCCAGTAGAGATTATCTAAATGACAAATTTCTGCTCTATGTTTGTTTCGTGTAGTATACAAACTACATGTATGGTACGCATGTAGTAAAAAAGAATGAATGTACCAGTAACACTTAACTTGTAGCATAAGTTGACCTCTTCACAGTTCATTCTTTTCAGCATTTCTACCCGCATTTGGTTTTGTGTTATTTTAAAAGTCTACCCATACTAAATCAGCCCTCTTACTGATACTGCCATACTCTCTAGGAGTTGAGTATGTAATGAAATTCACTAATTGGAATTATAGACTGGCAAAAGAAAATCTTAGGAAAGACTGTGACACATCCTGTAACAGAATGCCTTCTGTATTAATGCTAACAGTGTACCATTGTCAAGTAAGCATCTACCTCTTTCAGTTGACTTCTGGGACTCCTAATTTTGGTCTTTGATGACATGCCTGTGGTTGATTGACTAAAACAGCCTGAAGATGATGATGTAGGTAGCTCCCTGTATTACTTAAATGCTTTATAATTATTTGATTTTTCCTTATTACTTAGTAATTACTGCTAGAAGCTTAATTTAATTTTGGTCTGAAGAATGTCTCCTTTTTCATGCTTGCCCTCCTGCTTCCCATGAGCGCAGCCGTATAATGAGGCAGACTGTAGTATTTCAAAGAAAGGATTTATTATCAAATTTCATTTAAATACAAGGTCAGTTGGGATATAATTTCATTTAAATATCAACATTTATTAAAAAGAAATTGAAAAAAATTATTAGTTTTTCAGTTACCAATCCCCAGCCTAAAATTAAGCATCACTTTACTTTTATGTCTTCTCCCAAGTTTCTTTTAATTTTGTTACCATTTTCTTACTTACAAAAGTCTTTTTTTGTTTCATTATTTGCCCTTGAGCCAAATTCTTGAAACAACTTGTTAACTGAAAACACTGATTTTGAGAAATCTGGAAGAGTCACCCAAGAGAAGTCATTAAGAATCACCTGTAATACTGCATATTACTGGTACAGTATTTTTGTTGTGTTCCCTGTTGTGCTGAGTTTGCTTGAGTGAACTTTTCCTATCAAATAAAAAAAAAAAAAAAACAACATAATGACCTCACTTTTACTTTTCAGATCTGCCTGTATCTTTATGATAGGAGATGACTGAAGGGAGCAAGGCTGTTTAAAATCCAATTATCACATATTTTGGATTGTCTTATTTCAGTTTTAAAGAGAATCTAATTTACCAAAAACAGAAGAGAGAAATAAAGAGGATTTTACCCATTTAAATTACACAAAATATTCTGATATATGCTTCAGAAAGTACCATGTAATGTGAAAAAAGCAACTTAAAAGCATAAAGACTAGAAAAAGATCTACCACCTTATACTTGTCATGACTAAAAGGTTAAGAGAAGTACTAGTGAATCAGAGTAAATCAAAGTTGACACTGTTCAGATGCCCTGTAACTGTTCACAAGAGCAAAGCCTGCTTATATTGGAGATAGATAGAATTTTCTGTGAACATTAGAAAAAAAATTCTGTTATTTCATTGTAAATACCTAATGAACTACCTTGTTGTGTAGTTGGCTGTTTGCAGTCCCTTTACCAAGGGTTTAGTTTTGTTCGAAATGTCTTTCCACTCCTTGTATTTTTGAGCTTAGGTAGAAGCCAGTAGCTCAGAAACAGCCTCTTATTTGATCTTGATGGATCGGTTTAGCTTTAGGCACTTTTTTCATATAGTACTCTAGACATTGCTACTCAGATTCCCTCCAACTGTTTTGGAAGGAGTAGGAGAAAAAAATATAGTAAAACTTCACTTAAAAACATAAAATTAATGTTAAGATATGCCTGCTATGTGTGTTGTGTGTTAAATATGCTTTATTTACATAGGCAGTGCACACTTTCCTCACTTGAAAAAGGTGAATTTGTTTAGTAATAATTAAAAGTTTACTAGCCTAGTGAAGAGTGATACAGTATTTGTGTCAGGATGTTAATTTAGGATGGAGTCATGATGATGATGGTGATTATTATGGGTAATTCTATATGCTCCATTTACTTCCTTTGAAGAAAATAAACTTACAGAATGAAGTACTAGTTAATTTTAATAAAACTGAAAGAAGTTGATCAATAACAATTATGACAAGTTTTATATAAAGAGGTAAACATAAGTTTATAATATATATATATTTCTGTAGCAGATCTGATATGTGGAAAAAAATCCTAATTACTGATTTGCAAAACGTTAAGTGTATTAATGACTCTTTCCTTATTGGTCCCAGGTTTGTACAGTTAATCAGGAAGAATGGCTAGACAGCACTTATTGGCATCTATATTAAAGAAGAATCTTAAATGAGACATAAGACAGTTCTGGTCCCTACCTCAATTTTGGATACAACCAGTTTACAAAGGAAGCAACCAATTTATCCTAAACCTCACTTGGGCATTAAGAATCACCTGGCATCACTGCTGCTACACAAATAATTGCTTCCATTTTTTCACAACAAATATTTGCTTGGTTTGTCTATGTGCAAATACATTACTTCCAGAATATGAATTTCAAACTGAGGTTACCTTGGTCAATTTGAAACATATTTAGTAACTGTTGTTGGTATGCAACTGTAATGGAGTCTTTCACCCTCAGTAAGAGCAGTTAATCCTGTTGTATTGTAAGGAATAAATAGGAATGAAAACTTTTACTTCTAAGACTAGCTAATCCAACTGGATTCACACTAATCCAACTGGATTCACATTAATCCAACTGGATTCAGACAGCAATCGGTTCTGCTGGCTGGGAAGGTACAGTTTCCTCATAAGCTGTCTGTTGTTGAGTGAATCCAGACTGATTTGAATCCCAGACACATCATTCTGCCGAGCCTTTGAAATGAAGTCATTACAAGTCTCTGTGTGCCTATAGCTTGAACAGCTCTAGTAACACTTTGGTTCTGTGCAGAGAAAAACAAATTTTGATCCATTATGTTTTCTGGTTTATAAAGAGGAATTTTAACAACCTTAACAAAACAAACTCTTTACCTCAGAGTAATTCTGTATGATTGTCCTCCTTATCTTTTTTTTTTAATCATCTATTTCCATTAAAGAAGTTGGATTTATTTCATAAGATGGTATAGCAATATCTCCAGATGAATAGGGAAGCAAGCTTATTCACTGTTTTTTATGGTTTCAGTACGTTTCATTAACTCCATACCTTAATGTTTTTGCTGGCCACTAGTAGGGGCCAGGGAAGATCTCCTTCCCCTTCTGTATTTGGTTTGGATTTACATTTCTCTGAAGAAGCAAAGATAAGTGAAGGGCATAGTTCGTTATGTTTTATCATAAGATGCTGAAAACTGTTTTGTTACCGCACAGGATATGTGAAGTAAATGAGGTGGAACCTTCTGAATTCGTTGTCCATTGGGCAGGGTCTCTTCAGGGGAATCGTCCCCATTATCTAAAGAGTCACTGCCTGTTAAATGCAGCTTTGAGCTGACAAAAAATTATTTTATTAACAATATGTAAAAGACTTTATCTAGAATATGTTTTCAGTTGCACAAACAAGAAGTAATACATAAGTTCACAAAAAGAAATTTCTGTGCGTTTAGCTTAAAGCTGTAACACAGTTGTTCACAAACTTCTGACTACAGATGTAGGCCGCTGCTGAATGTGCTGTACTGTGTCCTCTGTTCGGTCTTTAAGCTCTTGAACATGCAAAAAATGAAAGAAAGGGGGAAAATGAAGTGATTAAAAACTGGATGTAGTCATTTTTCCACCTCAACAAACATGAAACACTGCCACCCTAGAACTGTACAAATTGTTCAGCAGCACTTGGTCAAACATCTAATTTTCATAGTCTTGTTCTATTTTTGAGGAAGTTACAGAAATGTGTGATGTGTATAAATGGTTAGATTTCATCAAACCTGAGGTAGCGTTCTTTATGCTTGACTTATTTTCAGTCTTGTACCTTAGTAAAGGAATGGAAAACTTAGTAAGATGCTTCATAGTAAGTACACATATAGCTCTTGCAGTCATGGGAAATACCGCTTACACTGCAGATTTGTTAGTGTTTCTCATGTGCATTAAATATTTCTCCTAATCTAGACAGAATTGAAATAGTAATTTGCTTACTAACTCTTTGCATAAAGGTAAAACAACATGAGCTTGACGCCTTGTTTTTAAGTAGGTGAAGGATACAAAGTTCACTGCTAAGTCTGTCAAATAGGCACTGTTTTGGTGCTGAAAAGATCAAAGTAAAAACACAGTTCTGCTCCCACACCAGCACCTATCTGCCAAGACACCCACATCTTTGCCAGTAAAGTCCCCCAGCCTTACAGTTGTGCTGCTGCCACACGTGACGAGAGCAGCTGCTGTCTTGGCTGAGCTGGGTTGAAGAGATCTGAGCTGAGCATCTTGGCACTTTTTTTATATACCGGCCTGTTTGGGAATCACAGAAATGGTATCCTTGCAACTGAAATCTTTGAAAATCCTATAGAGTAGATGAGCTGTAGAGAAGCCTAATGCAGACTGACAGCACTGTTTTAAGACAGTTTGCTTAGATTGAAAGGGGGAAAAAAAAACTGTAACCAACAACCTGTCAGAGTAAATAGGACATCATGATATCCAACATTTCTTTATATTATAATATATAGTGTAATATAGTGTAGCTAGAGTATTTCCCAAGGAAGTGGAAATTGGAGGTTCAGTCATACCTCCCAGGAGAATATCCAGACTACTAGCTGATTTTCAGATTAATGCTGATATCTAAATTATTCATTTTTCTAGATAAAATTCTTGTTATTCTTGATTTCCATTTTAGAAAGTTTGTGCAGAAATTATGTGAAAATTTTTGGATAAATAAGCAAGGAAAACATTCCCCTCCCCCTTTTACTACATATAATATATATATTTAAAAAAAAAAAGCCAACGGGATTATGACTTGACTATAGAATAAGCATTATTCAGAAACAGCATATAAAAGTGTTCTTTTTTCTGAAATTAATTGCTTAGGATGAATTCTTAGCCTTTCTAGAGGAAAACACTTTTAAACAAAACTATTAAATAGATATAACTATATATTTAGTAATATGGTTTATACCTAAAAATGTTTTTTGAGGAAAACTGATTTGTATTTACACAGAGTAGTGCTCGGACTGCCATGTCAGAAATTTGAAGTTGTGATCTTACATGCTGTCTGAAGCCAAGAGTGAGAGAGTCATTGGTTTAAGTTTACACTTAGACTGTTGTTTTTCGGAATACCTCCCAGAAGTTCACAGTTCATCTAACTGGAAAACGGATAGCTAAGATAGGTTACATGGCTTGTGACTTAGAAGGGACTGGTAAAGTAATGCTAAGGCCACAAAATTGAATATAAATATCTACAAATCGTCAGATGATGGTAACCTATAGTAACCATTTCAGCTCTGCTGACTTTTTAATGTGTCTGCATCCTTGAGCTCTCCAACAAAACTGCTAAAAAGGACTATTGCTTTTCAAATGTCATTATTTTAAAGTATTTTAAATTATGTTCTGCTATTGTTCTGAACCATATTCTAAACATTTACGTAGTCTTTGCTGGAAACAGAGTAAAGAAAATGCATTTACATTGCCATTTTTCATCTTTACTAGGAAACCCGGTTAGATGACCATCATCATGTTGCAGTGGCTCTCGGGAGACAGGAGGGATGTGGACAGAAGCATTCTGATGTAAGAAATTATGAAACACTTTCAAATCTTGGTAACTAATCACTTGAACATAAACTTAGTCTGATGCTGTAGCTAAAAGTGTGTTATCTCAGATGCAGGGCCAAGAAGAAAGCTTATCTTAAGCACAGTATTAACCAGGTGGTTACTGAACTGTTACCTCTAGTTCTGTTGTGCCTATTTCAGGAAAGGTCTGGGAAGGAGAAATGGTTTCAGAGGACAGCAACAGATAATGACAAATCTGGAATGTAAATGTTACAGCATTCAGGGTGTTCATTCGAGAGAAGATTAAGTGATTTTTGTCACAGCCTGCTAGTACTCGTGCGAAAAATTGTTTTCACAGAGGGAAATGGAGGCAGTGAACCAATCTGGACTGCTAAACTAGTACGGCACCTCACCAAGTTGATTTTAATGGGGGACTGTCAGTGCATGTATTCCAGAGCAGATCCATCTCTCAAACACCCATCATGACAAGATAACCCTTGAGACAAGCAACAACAACCAACAGATGGGAAGAACAGCCGTGTTAGTCTTCATTCCATGTGGTCTCTTTATTGAGAGAAGCAACAAAGCTACTTAAAAGCTTTTCAGGATTTTCTGTGTAATTTAACAAAGACCTGGGTCATGAAAATAGTAATAAAAGTCAAATTTGAGTCAGGCTAGCAAGTTGTAGCTGAAATAGCCAGACAGTCAGCAAAGAAAAGTGAGACAAATTGTCTGTGGTGTTTTAGTTGCTCAAAAGAAAATAGGTTATTGTTTTCTGTTATTTAGATACAAAGGTTCTGCCAGGAACTAGGAAAAAAATAATTAGCATATGAATGGACGAAAGGATGAAAGTGGTCATGCAAACATCTATCATGGTCATAAAATCTGAGTCTGTGATCATGGATAACACAGAGAGGCAGACCTTTTAACTAGTATTGGTTAGATTAAAAAAAAGACGTCTAAACTACCTTTGAGGATTTACTGTGGTAAATCAGTGCTAAAATATTCTTTAAGGAAAATATGTGCATTCTGTTTGACAGGACACACTTCCCAGTGGGGCTGCATATCATCATTCCTACAGGAATACTGATAAATGTCAGTCTGAGGTGAAAAAAGGTGGCAGTCGTTATTTCTAAAGACAATTCCCTAAGTAGTCTACAAAAATCCAGGATTTTTAAGTATCGACCTTCACCATCACTGTCACACACCTTAAAATTATGATAGAAAGAACAGGCATGGTGTCGAGAGTTACGATGAAAAGTCTTTGAATCAAGAAAGTCTCAAAGCCATACTTGTCCACTGACTAAATTTGTGATGACCTAAATTTCATTAGCTCAATTCACTGAAAAAAGGTCATTTTAAATAGGACAAGTGAGCATTCTGTGACTCCCCAATATGGAAATGAAGTGACAATTTCTGTACTATTGCATTGTGCCTTTTCAGGACTCTAACAGGAATGTGGAGGGAAAAAAAGTGGCCTTCTCTCTTTCTAACAGAACTGTAAAAAAGGATTCAATGTATTGCTAGATGTGTTAAGAGGAAAAGCTGTTCTTCATCTTAGTTTAAAAAAATTGAGTGTGTAAATATTATACTATTGCTTCAGGATGTGAATGCTTGTCTCTGTTCCCTCTCTGCTATCACAAGAGTAATTCATTATGTCCTGTTTGCAGAACATGTACTTTCAGTGATCTTTCTTCCCAACTTGGTAGCAAGTACCTACAATTTACAGGAAAGGCCAATTGTTACTTTAAAGTACTATAATTTAAATTCTCATGTCAAGAATCTTAACAAAATGTCCACTAGTGATTGCTATATACTTGAAGAGGCAGAATGTTTATCTGCACTCTTACCTACATCTAGACAGTTATCTGAGGCAGGTCTCAATGAAAGATGGCTGAGTTTATAATTCTTTATAATTCCTATGTGGGCTACAAAATATCTTTTTGCCTGTCACTTGCTAAATTTCACAGGACTTGTGATGAATTCAGTCAGAACACACTTGTCTTCAGACAAACGTGCTGAAGTTCAAACTAGATTTCTTAAGCCTCTGAGCTAAGTAGATTGTTAGTTCATATTTGGTATGCATCTGTGATGTTACTTACATGGTTCTAGGCACAGTTCCTGCAGCTTTACCTCGTCTCCAAAATGCCAGATGAACAGGAATGTCTCAACACCATGTCACTTGTGTGAGGATATAAAGTGACAGGCAGCTCAGTTAACTTTTGCTTTGTCTTCATTGGACAACTTTGAGTTTTGCTATGCTGTTACAACAAACACAAACCTCTTTGTTGTCTCTCCATATATTCCTAACAGTAGCTTACTGCTCAAACACTGAAGCGGAGAATAGACATTTTTGCTCTTTTACCTATTTACTGACCTACCTTCATTGATGTGACAGGAAGGAATAACAAAATCAAAATGGGCCTTAGGTGAGGTCACCTCCAGCACTTGCATGTAAACAAGCAAGTGCCTACAAGGCACCATTATGGACAAATCCTTCAAACCCTCTCCAGGAACTCAACATGCTGGAGTGCCTCTGAAGTGCCTGTACACTATGCACACAATATGAGGAATAAACATAATGACTTTGAGATCTGTGTGCAGTTGCAGGGCTATGATCTTGTTGGGATCATGGAGACGTGGTGGAATGGCTCCCATGGCTGGAGTGTTGCGATCAAGGGATACAGGCTCTTTAGGAAGGACAGGCTGGGAAGATGAGGAGGGGGAGTTGCCCTTTATGTGAGAGAGCAGCTGGAGTGCATGGCGCTCTGCATGGGGATGGATGAGGAGCCAGCTGAGAGTTTATGGGTTAGGATTAAAGAGAGCGCAAATCACGGTGACATTATAGTGGGTGTCTGCTATATGCCACCTGACCAAAAAGTGGATGAGGCCCTCTACAGACAGATAGAATCAGCCTCCCATTTGCAGGCCCTGATCCTCATGGGGGACTTGAACCACCCCAATATTCTGCTGGAGAGTCACAGCAGGACATAAGCAATCCAGGAGGCTCCTGGAGCCCATTCACAACAACTTACTCCTTCCAAGTGATAGAGGAGCCAATGAGGAAAGGTGCTCTGCTGGACCTCCTACTCACCAACAAGGGAGGGGCTTGTTGGGGATGTGAAGGTCAAGGGCAGCCTTGGCTGCAGTGAGCATGAGAGGGTGGAGTTCAGGATCCTGGAGGCAGGGAGGAGGGCTCATAACCCTGGACTTGAGGAGAGCAGACTTTGGCCTCCTCAAAGATCTGCTTGGAAGAGTCATGTGGGGTAAGGCCTTGGAGGGAAGCAGAGCCTAAGAGAGCTGCTTAATATCCAAGGATCACCTCCTCCAAGCTCAAGAGAGTTCCATCCCAATGAATAAGAAGTCATGCAAAAATGCCAGGAGGCCTGCATGGATGAACAAAGAGCTTCTAGCCAAACTCAAACTCAAAAAGGAAGCATACAGAGGGTGGAAGCAAGGATGGGTAACCTGGGAGAAATACAGAAACATTGTCTGAGCATCCAGGAATGAAGTTAGGAAAGCTAAAGCCCAAATGAAATTGAATCTGTCCAGGGATGTCCAAGGCAACAAGAAGGGCTTCTATAAGTGCACAGGAGACAAAGGGAAAACTAGGGAAAATGTTGGCTCTTTGCTCCATGAGACAGAGGCCCTGAGTACACAGGACATGGAGAAGGCTGAGGTACTGAATGCCTTCTTTGCCTCAGTCTTTACTGGGAAGACTGGCCTTCAGGAATCCCAGGTCCCAGAGACCAGAGGGAAGGAGTCAGGAAGATGTATCCTTGGTGGAAGAGGATCAGGTCAGGGAATACTTAAGCAAACTGGACGTACATAAGTCCATGAGGCCTTATGGGATGCAGCTAGCAGATGTCATTGCAAGGCCACTCTCCATAATCCTTGGTTGATTATGGTGACTGAGAGAAGTGCGCAAAGACTAGAGGAAAGCAAATGTCACTCTGTCTTCAAGAAGGAAGACTCAGGGAATTACAGGCCTGTCAGACTCGCCGCGATCTCTGGAAAAGCGGTGGAGCAGCTAATTTGGAAGCCATTTCCGGGCACATCAAGGACAAAGAAATCATCAGGACTAGTCAGCCTAGCTTCATCAAGAGAAAGTCATACTTGATCAACTTGGTAAAGTTCTACACTGAAATGACTGGCCTGGTACATGAGGGGAGAGCAGTGGATATTGTCTACTTAAACTTCAGTACCTTCTGCCTCTGATGCTGTCTCTCATAAGATCCTCCTAGAGAAAATGTTGATGTATGTACTGAATAAGCAAACAGTGAGGTGGCACTGAAAACTGACTGAACAGTTGGGCCCAGGGGGCAGTGATCAGTGGCATGAAGTCTGGTTGGAGGCCAGTAACTAGTGGTGTACCCCAGGGGTCAATACTGGGTCCAATCCTGTGTAACATCTTCATTAATGATCTGGGTGATGGGGCAGAGTGTACCCTCAGCAGGTTTGCTGGTGACACAGAACTGGGAGGAGCGGCTGATATGCCAGGGGGTCATACTGCCATCCAGAAAGACCTGGACAGGCTGGAGCAATGGGCCAACAGGAACCTCATGAAATTCAGGAAAGAGAAGTGCAAAGTCCTGAACCTGGGGAGGAACAACCCCAGGCACCAGGACATGCTGGGGGCCAGCCAGCTGGAAAGCAGCTTTGCAGAAAAGGCACTGGGGGTCCTGGTGGGCACCAGACTGAACGTGAACCAGCAATGGGCCCTTGCAGCAAAGAAGGCTAATGGCATCCTGGACTGCATTAGACAAAGTATTGGCAGCAGGTCGAGGGAGGTGATCCTTCCCATTTACTCAGCACTGGTGAGGCCACACCTGGAGAACTGTGTCCAGTTCTGGGCTTCTCAGTACAAGAGAGACATGGACATACCGGGGAGAGTCCAGCAAAGGACCACAAATATGATTAAGGGACTTGGAATGTCTTTCCTATGAGGAAGGCCCAGGAGAGCTGGGACTGTTCAGCCTGGAAAAGAGAAGGCTCAGGTAGATCTTAGTAATGTATCTAAATACCTGAAGGGAGGATGCAAATTAGACAGAGCCAGGCTCTTTTCAGTGATGTCCAGGCAGAGGACCAGAGGCAGTGGACACAAGCTGACACACAGGAGGTTCCCTCTGAATGTCAGGAAACTTTTTTTTTTTTTTTTTTTTTTTTTTTCCCCCACTGTGAGGGTGACTGAGATTGCCCAGGGAGGTTGTAGAGTCTCCATCCATGGCAATATTCAAAAGCTGTCTGGACATGGTCCTGGGCAACTGGCTCTAGGTGGCTCTGCTTGAGCAGAGGGCTTGGGCCAGATCCCTTCCAGAGCTCCCTTCCAATCTCAGCCATTCTGTGATTACCAGACATCACTATTCGCTCCCCGAGGAGTTAACAGTACCTTGGCCTTCATCAAAAATGTGTCAGTTTGTGTGATATAGAGAATACCCCCACTGCAGAGTAGCCCTGCTGAATTCTATCAAATATTAAACATTAAGAATATGTTGCTTGAGCGAATCCCGAATTCAGAAGGATCAGCTATATTCATGTTTGATTCATGTAGCTGTACTCTTTGCCCTGCTGTTGGAAAGAATTACACTTGCAGATAACATACAGCAGGCTGCACAGTAGCATGTGCTCAAAAAACCAAACCTTTTTTTCTTTGAAATGTGATTTTTCTTGAAGCGATGGTACTAACACAGAGACCATGACACTGTCATCTCTAACATCTCAGTCTGCATTTAATCTGGATTTAACATGGGGAATTGTGGGTTCATTGTGACCACTTTTGTCCTTAAATAGCATGAGTTTGAGAGAAGCATGCACAACTTCAGTGACTGCTGGTATTAAAAAGGATATGAATAGGCACACCTGTAGTGGAATAAATCCTCACGCTATCATCTCAAATAATCATGTCTGCTGGAGAATGAAGTACAGTTTGTTTGGGTTTGTTAGTGGGTTTTTCCTTCCTTTTTTTCTGGGCTTAAATACTCATTCTGTGGTATTTACAGCATTCTCTTATCAGTTTCAGAGAAAAACTTGCTTTTCCTGTGTGGACTGTTACATTAGTTACTCTATAGACTACATTAGGGACAGTGACATTGGTCTCAACTGGAGTATTTTCTTTCTTCTTCAGTAAGCAATGTGTAGTTTAAACTGGACAGGGAATATTGCGGAAGAAAATCGAAATTTATGGTTTCATGTAATACTAATATGTATTTTCCTTAGGTATGTTCCATGGAGCCTAACCAACCACAGTTCACATTATTGACTTTTGAAGATTTAGTTGCGTCTGGTATTCCAGTTGCACCTGAGGATTCTGCATATTGGGATAATTTTTGTTCTAAGCCGGAGAGTCCAGTGAAACAGAATTCACATTCAAGACAAGAATGCTTATAAGAAAAAGAAAATTGTCAAAGTTGTTATGCTGTTACTTTATGTAATTCAGAGTGTGGGAATAAGTGTACATGTGTAAATGAAACATGTTTTTCCTTATTTAAACTAACAGTCTGATTTTCACCTTTTTAAAATTGACATTCTTTATCAATATCTTAAGGAAGATGCATGTTTCCTTGCTGAAGGAATTCGGAGTGAAAAGTCTGAGCTGACCACATGCTTTCTTTGCTTCTACCTGCTTGTGGTTCTAACACTTCAATAATTACCCATGCTAGGAACAGAGAGCAGAGCTACAATAATGTTGTTGATTAGTCAGCAAGTGTTTAATATATAAAAATGTGTTTCTATACTTCATTTATGCTGAAGCTTAAATTATGGTACTGCCTTTTCTCTTACAAAAATAATAGTTTTATTCTCAGGTGGATGAATAAAGCCAGAAGAATTGGTACAAATCCTTTTGCTGTTACTAAGTGGTGCAAGTGTTTGTACAACACTTTGCATTTGTCTAATAGCAGGCTGAAGAAGTCTGAATCTTAGTAGTCTTGGAACTACATCTGTCCAAAACTACTTTGAGGAATTAACTTTAGAAGTATTTCATATCCTTTTCACTTACAGTCTTTGTTAATTAAAGCTTCCTGTATGTAACTTAGGATTTGATCTTTAACAGTTCTTTTTGCGTTTTTTCCCTCAGCAATAGATACGAGTGAAACAGCAGTTCAGTTTTCCTAGACTTGCATTTACATCTGTACTGTTTTGGCTGGGGGTGGAACCAACAAAAAACCCCTATTTACTTTTTTCCAAATAGTGTCATAACATATGAAGATAGAATATTTTATTGTCTTACAGTGAATTAAAATTTCTGGAGAAGATCTGTAGATCTTGAATGCACCTTTAGAGTATTTCATATTCTTTTTCAAAACAAATCCTATTTTGTGCCATTATGTCTCACTTTTCTTTCTAGAAGTCATAGGTACATTATGGTATGTCTAAATGTAAGAAAACGTACTGAACAGAATGAGTCATACTGAATGGAATGATTTCCACAACTAAAAAGAGTTCATTTCTGTCCTACAGTTAAACATACATCTTCAGTGAATTCAGGTTTGTGTACAACTTGGCTGCACCCTGTATTCTGACTAAAGGAGAAACTACTTGTAGTGTAACCATTGAAGCCATGCCTTATTACAAAGATAAAGAAAAGGTTTAGAGAGAGAAGGATATGAGTTTTACAATATTATACAAGCTTTTGGAGTTTTGCTGTAGATAATCTTGAATTCAAATATGCTGTTAATCTTTCCTACTTCTGTCAGTTCTGATTAATATTTTTGTTTCCATTTCAGTGACTGACTCATCTTGCATACTAATCAGAGTTTTTGGTGTTTTGCTTTTTTCCTCCAAAACTGCAAATCAGTGAAGCCGTGACTCTTCTCTCCAGACTCCGCAGGGGTTAAATTAGATGTTCAGTAACTTCAAATCTGAAGTTAACAGAAATATAGAATAATGTATATAAAAATTGTAAGTCAAATATTCCAGACTGTTGGTTTTTAAATGAAATACAACTTGCGATAAATAATTGACACTCCATGGAGGCCAGAAAAGGCTATTCAGTGGATGTGTAATGATATCATTTACTGGGACACGGTATTTTTAACTGATTCAGTTGACTCTGTTTTACTCTGTTCTACCTGAAGTGTTCTATAATCCCAGATGGGCAAGCACATGAAGGTGCTGAAAAGCTGCAATAACTAGAAGTGTTGCCAAGCTGAAAGAAAGGACTTGTTCTGCCACAGGTTTTGAAAGTCTGCAGAATAAGGAGGCCTATTCAGAGTAAGAGGAGCTGAAGATTACTGAGCTCCATGGCTGGCTGGCTGTTAGCTGGTCCGGTACGTGCCTCTCCTCACCAGTCACTGAGGACCCCATCAATTGCAGCTGTACCAGTTTAAATTGCCAACTTTTTGGCTGGGAGAACAAAATGAACTGCAAATATGGGGTGAGATGAATAGAGAATTTTCAGATCTAGATTTCTGGGGATAAAGGAATTCATTTTGTATTGGAGGTGATTTATTTTTGCCTGATGACAGTGTCTCAAAACAATTTTTCTCTCATTGAAAAGAGTTTAAAAAGTATTAATGAAATTATTTATAATATTGTGCTTGCATGTAAGTAGAGGACAAACCAATTTTGTTAAATTAGAAAATTACACTTGGTTTGCTTGCCAGGAATATGATAATTTTCAGGACTATATCTAGAATGGTTAGAAAAATAAAGGAGTTTGTTTTGGTTAGCTTTCCACGAAATAAAAGCGTAGTTTCTAACAGTCCAGACAGAATTGTCTAGAAAATTGCAGTTCCTCACATTATGATTTTTTTCCATGTCTTTGATTTACACTGAGCTATTTGAAAAATAAGATTAATTTCTCTTTTTTTTTTTTTTTTTTTTAACTGAGGTAGCAATAAAGGTTAGGTGATGGTAATGCCTTGCAAAGAGCCACTTGAGTCAGGTTGTTTAGTGTCAGTGCAAACAAACAGAATTTTTACACTGTGGGAAAGAGCAGCTGTATAGTTACGGAATTATCAGCTAAAACCATGCTGCTCAAAGGCCAGCAAGACACTCTGACTCTTTATGAATGCAAACAATCCTTATTAAAGTCATCAGAATGTTTTTCTGGGCATCTCTGTACTGTAGAGGCACGTATCGAAATAAACATTGCTAGCATGTACAGATAAATTAATGTAATCTCACAGCTCTAAGATTTTTTCTTTTTATTATTTCACCATCACAGTTTCCCTTGTGTAAAAAATTGAGCCCTGTATCCACACATGGCCACAACAGTGGCTTCCTCGCATTTCCTCAGAATACAGTCTTAACGTCTGTAGAGTGTCTCTGCCATTTTCAGAAATACTAGCCCAGCCGAGCTCCAGCTTCCCGCCCTAGTTCAGGTTGTTAGCCCAGTCCAGTGCGGATGAGCTGACCTTTGCTGGTCTCCTATCACTCTTCTATCTGCAAGAAATTTCCCGGTTATGTCTAGAAGCCCTCTGGCCTTCAGGTTCCTTCTCCAGAGCTCCATTGCTTTATCTGTTTTGTTTTCTATGTACTACCCTACAGATGCCCATACCACATACCTGGTTAAGGGTAAGAAGCTGCAAAAACACAAGCTCTGTTCCATGTGAGCCTTTCCCAGCAGGGGCTGGGGCTAGGTAGTTGTTTTCCCTATGGAACAGGATTGACCAGCCTCCATGTTTCTCAAAGTACAGATTTAGATCTTAGATCAGATCTGCTGCCCTAGACTGCGGATCAACCCAATGTTTCTGAGGAGTAGCCATTAACAGTCTCTGACCTAAAAATAAAAAAAAAAGTTTTAAAAAGTTTTGGTCTTCAGTGAACAGACTGGCAAAAGTGAATAAATGTGTTTTAGTTTGGGTATGTTATCCCTTTTAAACCTTTGTGTATCTTGCATAAACATCATTAGAGTGGATTAGGAACTTCAGGGGATAAAACTGTGTTCAAGACAATTTGCAGCTGTGTGACGAGACTGGTGCCATTTGATGTGAAAATCTGTAACTTTGAAAAGTGTGTCACATGAATTCACTCAACCTTTCAACAATGTCTCTAAACCTACGCGAGATGTATATTGTTACTATATTGTGGGATCAAATGTATGTGCTTCATGTTCCTCCAGAATATGAATATTTTGGATTGCTCTACACTGTATAGAAAATGTAGGCATGAAAATAAGTTCTGAATTATTCTCAAGAGAGACAACATTTTGAAAGTTTTTCAAAAAGCCGCGTATTTTCTTGTGCTGTACATACAGGTTTTTATGGCCAGATACTATGTATGACTCCTGTTTCTGCTAAGATTGAGTTTAATTTCTTTATTGAAATAAAAAGTGGGTTATTTTGTGTTTGTGTTCTGATTTTGTGTTGCCTATTTATGGTTCTACCTTTCAGAGTTGTCTTTTTTTTTATCTCAGTATTATTTAGATCCAGACATAGGCGGGAATAGTGAAACACTTGCCTAACATGCCTTTGTTATTTCTAAGACAATTTATGGGAACACAAAACTGCATGCTCCTAGTGACATCCTTCAGATGAATCGTGAAACAAAGGTCTGGACCAGCCGTCCACTCTGTGGCGTTCTCGTGTGACGAGGTGTGTTCAAGTCTTTCTTCCAGGACCGCTCCCTGGTGTCATCCTGCAAGTTTAATTTGGTAATGTGCCACCTAGTTTCTTGACATAACTATGGCATAATATTGGTGTCTTCTACGTTGATGAGCGAGTGTCTCGTCATTTGGTCTAAATTGCAATAGTGTGAGGTTTAATGCTTCAAAGAAGATACGTATTTTCAAAGACAAGGCTACAGTGTTGCATAGTGGTACTTACACATGTAAGGAAATTTTTTTTAACTCTTGTAAGACACAAAGGTTCTTCATGTTGTAGTAGGAGCTTATTCACACAGAAAAGGCACTTCTGCTTGCACAAGGATTTTCTTTAAAAAACTTGAAAAATTGTTTTGGATTTATAAGTGATGTAAACAGTAAGAAAATGGGTATTTCAGTTGAAATGTGTCTTTGATCCTCCAACATCTTGAGGTACCTAGATGCCTTTATTTCTACTTTACAAAGCAGTAAAGAAGCACTGTCATATAACAAGGTGTTATAGAGGCCGCCCAGTAGCCGCTTTATAACTAACTATTCTTCATACCGCAAATAGAAAAGTATCTGCAATGAATGTGTATAATCTGTTAGGAAATACTTTGCATCACTACTAACAGCTGAATAACTTATTATCTTTTAATACATTTTAAAGCTGCCTTTTTATGTTTGTAGTGGCTATCTGCTCAATAAGAGAAAGAATGGTTTGGGGCATGGTGGATCTAGATGTTGTCACATCCAACTTGCTCTACATATAAGTAATGAAGTCTAGTTCTTCAAACTGAACTAGGTGGGAGCTTCTAATGATTAAAGGTTTTATCCAGTGGCTGTTGCAAAAACACATGAGCAG